TATATGGCACCTTGGTACTGTATGGTACTATATGACAATGTATATGGTACCTTGGTATTGTATGGTACTACATGACAATGTATCTCTCTCTCCTGAAAAAAACAAACCTTGACCCCTCAGTCGAGTCCAACTTCCGCCCTGTCTCCAAACTCCCATTTGTTTCTAAAATACTGGAGAAAACATTTGAGTCCCAGTTGAAGTGCTTCCTGGAGGATCACGCCATCCTAGAGCTATTCCAATCTGGCTTTAAACCTCTCCACAGCACTGAAACTGCCCTATTGAAGGTTTTTAACGACATCTTCAGATCCACAGATACTGGTGATTCTGTGCTGCTTGTCCTGTTGGACCTCACAGCCGCCTTTGACACCATCGACCATGAGATCCTCATTGCTAGGTTGGAGCAGTGGGTGGGCGTCACAGGGTCAGCCCTCAATTGGTTCAGATCTTACCTCACTGACAGATCCTTTTGTGTCTCCATCAAGGATTTTAGTTCTGCAGCGGCAGAGCTTAAATGGGGGTTCTGCAGAGGTCCATCCTGGGTCCCCTCCTATTCTCTTTATACCTGCTGCCACTTGGTGCTATTTTCTGGAAACACAACATGCCCTTTCACTGCTACGCCAACGACAGTCAAATTTACTTCCCCCTAAGACACAATGGTACATGCTCTATTCAACCTCTGCTCGACTGCCTGGCTGACATCAGGGACTGGATGGTTTTAAATTTCTTAAGTTTCAATGAAAAGAAGTGACTGAGGCGGCTGTCTAAACTGAAGCCCATCCATCCATCCATCCAATTTCTTTACCCGCTTATTCCATTTTTGGGTCACGGGGGTCGCTGGTGCCCATGTCCAGCAATCACTGTGCGAGGGGCGGGGTACACCCTGGACGGGTCGCAAGTCCATCACAGGGCCACATAGAGACAAACGAGACAAACAACCATTCACTCTCTCACTCACACCTAGGGACAATTTAGAGTTACCAATCAGCCTAACATGCATGTTTTTGGACTGTGGGAGGAAACCGGAGTACCCGGAGAAAACCCACGCATGCACGGAGAGAACATGCAAACTCCACCCAGAAAGGCCCCTGGACCGGGGTTTGAACCAGGGACCTGCTCGCTGAGAGGCAGCAGCTCTACCAGTTGCGCCACCGTGCTGCCTAAACTGAAGCCCATATTGTCCAAAAATAACCTGGAGACAGTAATACATGAATTCATTACATCTAGGCTTGATTACTGCAATTCACTCCTGTTTGGTATCAGTCAGACCTCCATTGCACGACTACAACTGGTCCAGAATGCAGCAGACCCATTTTTAACCAGTACAGGCAAAAGAGAGCACATTACACCAGTTTTGGCCTCACTGCACTGGTTACTAGTTCACATTTGAATCTATTCAAAATACTCACGTATGTCTACAAATCACTGAACAGTTTGCCCCCCCCCCAAAATCTCTCTTATCTGCTACAACCGTATGTCTCACCACGTTCCCTGAGGTCAGCGGACCAGTTGCTCCTCACAGTTCCAGGAACTCATCTTAAGCGCAGAGGTGACAGGGCCTTCTCTGTAACAGGACCAAGACTTTGGAACGAGTTACCTCTGTTTGTCAGACAGGCCCCCTCCCTCTCGGTTTTCAAATCCCATTTGAAAACTCACTACTATTCAGTAGCTTTCAACACCAGAGGATCTGTGTTTTGAACCTGTACGCTCCACACTGGTTAGTCGTCATTTATTATATGCATCGTTTTTATGTCTACAGTATATTTTTAATTTACTTCATTTTGTATATTGCTTCATGTGTTACCTGTTGTTCTGTCTGTACAGCACTTTGGTTGGCCTTGTAGCTATTTTAAGTGCTCTATAAATAAAATGGTATGGTATGGTATGGTATGGTATGGTATGGTATATGGTACCTTGGTACTGTAGTACTGTATTTTGACTAAAGTGTTACAGACGTTTCTTGACAAATTCAGAAAATTGAGTTAACTAATAAAAAAAAAGATCTAAAACCAAAATATATTTTCCTAAAAGGACTGCTGTTTGACATGTCGTCGACAAAATCTAGATCGTTGGAAATAGGGGTGCATAGGGTGCTGCAGCACCAACTTTTGCCTGCCAGAAGACATATACATGTGCAAATAAATATAAAGGAATTAATAAAAATTTAAAAAATGGATTTCATTTGTGCCCGCCTCTTGCACAGTAACCGTTGGATATGGGCACCAGTGACCCCCGCGACCCAAAAAGGAAGAAGCGGGTAAAGAAAATGGACGAATGAATGCGTTTAAAATCCAAAATTATTCTGATAGTGTTCTGCGCATCTGGTACATAAAGCCGCAGAGTTATTGTACCTCAGAAATTTTACAATTACAGTGATCCCTCACTTATCGCGGAGGTTACGTTCCGGCGGTAAGTGAAAAACCGTGAAGCATTAACGTTACATTTATTTAATTATAAGTTTAAGGCTTTATAAACCCTTCCCACACTCCTATAAACCTTTCCAACTCTCTTATTAACACGTCATATGCTCTTCAACACGATGAAATAAACTTTTTAAAAATAATGTTTATAAAAACAGCAATACAGTGAAACCACACTATAGCAGGGACGACTTTAAACAGCTTTATATTGTCGTCTACTTTGGTTAAATGTGACATTAGTTTGTGTTTTTTGTCTGTTTGCTTCCAGCACCACACGACTGAAACATGCTCCAACACTGTGTCATGTAATATTACATGTTTACAGTGTAAACTTTACACTGCATCTACTTCCGTCATGTGAGAAATCAAACGGTGACGTAAACAATTCGAGCGTCTGATGAGAACAGAGAACAGGTGCGTGATAAAACTTAGCTCCGTTTAACTCTGAACAAGTCATTAAATGTAAACGCCAGGTGCGCGCGCTGTCGGGACACGAAAGAAGAAGCGGTTGCTCGCGTGCACTCGATCAAAGGGCGCGTGTCACTCACGTTCCGAGGAGTTCCTTCAAATGGAAAATCTTCTTGATGTCGTCGATCTGTTTCTTCCACGTCTCCCCGCCGCCGGTGTCTCCGTTCTCCCGGGCCATGTCGCTGCTTCACCGGCCCCAGTCCGGCCGAGCCTCTGGGCTGGGAGTGTGGAGGGGCACGGAGAAATAACGCTTCACGGTTAAAACGCGTCAAAACTGAGGAGTTTCGGCGGGAAATGTAAAAAGTAGCTGAGCGTCAGAGGTTGGGCTGGAGCTCTGCTGCAGAAGGACCATGTGAGTCCTCCGGCAGGTTCCTGTATCCCTGCTGCCTCCCTCCTCCTCCTCCTCCTCCTCCTCTCTGTGGAACAGAAGTAAAGTTCACCGGAACATCATGGTTCTTCTGCCTGCTCTTTCAAAATACAGGTCCATTTAAAAAAAAAAAAAAAAAAAAAAGAATATCGTGAAAAAGTTTTTTATTTTTCTAATAATTTTGGAAACTGAAACTCATATATTACATAGATCATCACACACAGAGTAAAATAGTCCTTTCTTTCTTGTTATTTCGTGTCTTACAATTCATGCACATTAGTTGTTGCTTCTCAGCGAGAAGGTCGTCGGCTCAAATCCCAGCCCGGGACCCTTCTGGGTGGAGTTTACATGTTCTCTCCGTGCATGTGTGGGTTTTCTCCGGGTGCTCTGGTTTCCTCTCAGATCAAAAACATGCATGTTAGGCTGATTGGTAACTCTAAATTGTCCCAAGGTGTGAGTGAGAGAGTGAATGGTTGTTTGTCTCGTTTGTCTCTATGTGTCCCTGTGATGGACTGGAGACCTGTCCAGAGTGTCCCAGTGATGGACTGGAGACCTATCCAGGGTGTCCCTGTGATGGACTGGAGACCTGTCCAGAGTGTCCCTGTGATGGACTGGAGACCTGTCCAGGGTGTCCCTGTGATGGACTGGAGACCTGTCCTGGGTGTCCCTGTGATGGACTGGAGACCTGTCCAGGGTGGCCCTGGGATGGACTGGAGAC